GCAGTCGGAGAACTCGAAAATGCAATCGGCTCGAAAAAAGTGGAGGATGGAAAATCGGGAGCGGGGTCCACGAAATTATCCGATCCTTACAACACGTTAGCATACACTTATCTGCGCTGGTGTGTTGGACGATGAAAAAAAGTTGGGGACCCCGAAAATGCAGCCAGCCCGAAAAAAGCCGGGGAAATGGATGGGATCCCCGAAATTTCCCCCATTCATGCAACAAAGTAATTCTGATTATTTTCACTGTTTGTTTTTTACGCAGAATTGACGAGTGAATGCACGTAATTCTGGGCAAGGTGAAGAGTGTAACGAACTTGAGGTATTATTGTAATGTTGGATCGCAACTGATGCAGACCAACTGATGCGATATCCAAACCGTCAATTCTTATCGATCCCTTGTCTGCTTCGATGATACGGAAAAGGGCTAGTGTCATTGAGCTTTTACCTGTAAACAATCACCGAATTTATCGTTGCAAAATTCGATTACTCACGCTGAGCGAAACCTTATGATGCGATGAGTGATAAGTAAATGCTGCTGCTCAGAAAAGGTTGAGAACTAACAGAAACTTAGTTTGATCTACGGCTGATTGAATAGCAGCGGACTTGAGAGATCAGGCCTCAGTTATGCGTGATACTAATCTCATTTCGAATCTTGATAGTTACTACCAAATTACTAATTGCTGGTTATAGCTTCGACAACGTGCTNTGTTGTTAATGTACTTCGAACACAGTACATGTTAATGCTCTCCACAATGTAAAGAGCTATCACCTACTGTTGCAACGACTTCTCAGTCAGTACACGTCAAAACTCTTCACAAAGGACGAAGTTATCAATTAATGATAATCTTTATGTTTCCTGTTTTCTTACATCCTTTTAAATCTTCTTAAGAATTAAAATAATTTGCTACAGAAAACCAAACAAAATTACGCTTACGAGTCAGCATTCGAATGCGCAACACATAAGGCGTGCAGAAAATGAATTCGTTTGAAACACTCAAAAAAAATTTGCGAATATTTCATAAGGTAGGCGATTTGTTCGCTTTTATCATCAGTGAAAAATGGAAATGAGAGCGGCAAAGAATCAGCGTACCTGCACCAGTTCTACCAACAATTCCGACTTTTTCACGTGCGTTTATCGTGACATTGATGTTCCTCAGGGCCAAATCCAACCCTGGTCGGTACCTTGCAGAGTAGTTTTGGAATTCAATTTCACCAGCGAATGGCCAACATTTGGGATGAAGTTGATTCGAGGATTCCAAATACCAAGGTGCCTTGAAGAGATCCCAAATGAAATGATGATAATGAAGTGTTTTATTTTGTTGTGAATGAATTATTGAGGTAGTTGAGATTAAAGAAGTTAAAAATGAAATGTTTACGTGATCATTAAAGAAGTTATGATTATCACTGTTACGATGAAAATAGCACAAGAAATTCGGAGAAACAATTCGAAAATTGTAAGTATAAGAGTAAATGAATAGCTAAAATATTTGACTTTTTTCGAAAGAAAGGAAGAGCGAAGCAAATGAGCCAAGTAATATATACTTTTTAGTTTTTATTATTTGCAAACAAATAATGCGATATGGCATTGTCAATTCACATTGTTCTGGAAATGCAAAGGCAACATCAACTATAATTTTCTTGAGTATCGTTCGTGTCAAAGCATCAAACCTCATTTGGTAGCTGACAATACTCATTGATTCGTTCCACAGCTACAATATTCGTTTCCACTTCACTGATTTGAAGCACCAAAAAGTTGAGCATCACTGTTATCTGTAAGCAGACTGGCCGAAAGTGAGGATGTTATTGGACACATGAAACTAACCTCTAGAGTCAAAACGTTACAGTTTCATAGTCCTTCGTCAATGATTGTTTTCGAATATAATACCTATGATAGGATTGCTCGAAAATCTGGAGAATTCTCTTCGAATATTTATTTCAACCTCAACATTTATGTTTTGAGTCACAAAGATCCATCTGATGCATGGAGAACATATCTCCTTGAATAATTATTCTCTTTATTTTAGGATCCTCAAGCTGTTCGGGTAAGTTTGAATTACCACTGGATGAATAAGCTTGAGAGCTTTCCAGTCTTTTGGTTGTTCACTTCTTAACAGTCATCGAACTCACATTCAAGCTGTACGATACGCTAAGACCAATCGTACCAGCCGTTGCTGTCCCCTCGATTTTCGCAAGCACCGCGAAGAGTGCAGCAAATAAAACCACAAAATTGCCTATTATTTCCAGTCGAACAGACAGCCAACGATTCGCCATCAACGAGGAATACTTACATTTGATGTGTGTGTCAACCTGAAAACCATTTATTGTACAATTACGTTCTATGATTTGGTTGAAACATCGAATAGAATAGAATAAAGTATTGTAAGGAATAATTTAAGCGAGCAAACCTTGTTGACGTTAAGGTCGCAAAAACGCTGAACAGCGTTATAACTTCTTATCGAAGAAACTCCTTGAAGTGATTCACTAAAGTGCGAATATATCGGTGAACGAGTCACAGAGGAAAGTCTTTGTAGCTGTCTTGATGTGTCGATGAAGTAACGCTGTAAGTTATCAATTTACAAATACCATTTCATCGCATACACTGATTTTCGTCGGCAGTCTAGAGCTGAGAGCTTTTGCATGAAAATACCTTCAGAGTTACCCGTCAAGTTGCAACCTGTCAGTACTTACAGTCCCTGTAGCAAAAAAGAACTACTCGTTAGCTTAGTTTCCACTTTTCTTTAAAAATATAGCAAGTAATTAGATCCGAAAGCTGATCAAATCTATAGGTTGATAATAAAAATAAAATACAGTGGAAAATTGAGAGCGCAGGAGCCTAACATGAGAAAGATCTCGTTCAGAATTCACAAAAAGGCAATTTATTTGGAATGAAAGATGGCAATCAAATATAGCTTGAGAACATATTCACGCGATGTTCAATCGGTTTGCTTGCTTGTGAGTTTAGTGCAAAGTGATGCTGTTGAAAAGACGAACCAGAATGAAAATATAAACGAGAGCGATTGGAACTACAACAACACCGAACAGCGGTGTTGACAGCATTATGATGACGATGGTCTGTACCACATTCAGAGCGCAAATCATGAAGAAGTAAAAGTTGCCGGAAAGTCGCAGATCCACAAGTTCAATATCCTGCAAAACAAAACCATCCGTTGCACGTGAAAGGAATCGCTATGAGCGATGTTTTCGTCGATCAAGAAGTATCCTTTCAACTAACATCACTTATCATCTATTAGACAAACCATTAACTACGCCCATTTATTCCAAACCTCGCTGACATTTGCTTAATTCGAAGAAAAATGTCTGTGCTGAGAAGGTGAAAATATTTATGAGTAAGGAGGGAGCGCAGTGTATCGAACAATTGGTTCGGATTCAGAATAGTCAATGAATTTCCGGAGATTATGTCTTCTATCGACCTAAAAATTAACCCGATAACTCCGATAATTTTTTTCAGGCTGATTCAATTTCATCCACCCATTCGCTTTATGTAAACTCCGTCCATCTTGTTGAGAATGGAAGCCGAATTGGTTGAATTCAAATTGCAAAGATGCGTTCTGTGTTATTGTGCACCACATACCATAACAAAGCAAGATTTCTGGACTAGTAACAAATACAGGTGAACAGAAATGGACAATTAATGATGAAAGAGTTG